TGGCGAGGGTGTGGAGGGGTGGGCACGATGTACCACATATGGTGGGAATGTCAAAAATACAAGTTTATTGGAGAAAGGTTATAAATCAAATTAGGATTATTACCGGAACGGAGATTGGACTGGACCCTGAAATTTTCTTTTTCATATCACAAAAATATCAGTGAATAAATATAAAGATCTGGGTATATGGTGCTATCTAAATGCAGCAAAACATTTGATACCTAGGTTTTGGCGCAAAGTTGAGGCACCGAGGGAAGAGGATTGGATGAATAGAGTGGACCAGATTGCTAGATTGGAGAAACTATATTACATACAGGAAGATAGGATGGAGGCATGGGAGGAGTTTAAGGTAAAGGTGAAAGAAGTTACTTTGTAATTAAGTATAAAAAAAAAAAAAATATATATAGGAATTTGTCTTTCTTCCTTTTAAAAATCTGTATCCAGAGGATGTGAGTTATAAGTCGATCAGATAGATGTCAGGGATTCATTGAAGAGGGGTGGGGCGGAGGGTGGGTTGAAGGAAGGGGGTTATGGGGAGAAAATGATATGCAATAAGTGGTTTTAGAAGAAATTTGTTGTTGTATTTCCTTTTTGGATTTTTCTGTATTGCTATATTTGAAAATGAATAAATATCTAAATTAAAAAAAAAATAAAAATATGAAGACCATGGTTGGCAAGTGTGTGGGGACTTGAAGGTCTTGTGCATGCTGCTCGAGCAACAAGCTGGGTATACCAAATAACCTTGTTTTCTGTGTCTATGGGACAGTCGAGACCGACAAAATCACTGGACCAAGAAGAGTTGGCAGCCGAGGGTGCTAACAGTCGGTGAAAAAAATGTCCTTCGAGAAACTTTGGTACCTTCCCATAAAGTTCTTCTACCACCTCTCCACATAAAATTGGGATTGATGAAGCAATTCATAAAATCACTTCCAAGAGATGGAGAATGCTTCAAATACTTGGTCACCAAGTTTAAAGGCCTGTCGGAGGCAAAATTGAAGGAAGGTGTGTTCGTCGGACCAGACATTAGAAGGCTTATAGTTGATCAAGAGTTTGTCAATACCATGACGGATCATCAAAAAGAAGGGTGGATTGCATTTAAAGAAGTCGTACAGAAATTTTTAGGCAATAACAAAGATCCTCACTACAAAAATATCGCTGGATGAATGCTGAAAGCATTTCAAGCTGTAGGTTGCCTGATGAGTTTGCAAGTGCATTTCCTCATGTCCTGACTACTTTCCTGAAAATTTGGGAGCTGTGAGTGAGGAACACGGTGAACGATTCCACCAAGACATTAAAGAGATGGAAAGGAGATACCAGGGAAAATGGAGCATTACAATGATGGCAGACTACTGTTGGATGCTTCAGAAAGACATTCCAGATGCTACTCACAAGCGTAAATGCACCAAGAGGAGCCTCACACGGAAGACGAATCGAGTTTAGTGTGTGTACGTAAGCTCATTTCAGTTCAAAAAAGGATTTTCATGAAAAAATTGTAATAAAACTTTAATTTTATAAGTCTATTTCCATTTATTTTGAGGTATTGCCTTATTTAACATAGTTACCTAAATTGTCAGGAAACGTGATGTCCTATGACAAAATGGAGGTCATTTTCGGATTCAGCGCACCAAAAAACATAAAGATTACATGGAATAACCAAAACAGCTCTTGAAAAATTTTTTTTTGCAGACTTGTGTTATTTAGGAAAATAAGAAAAATATAATTACGCATAATAATTTGGAACACGGTGTATCTAGCCCTTGGGGCACCATTTCATCCCCTGGTACCAATAATGGGGCATAATTCTCTCCACTGACCCCAACAATGGGGCACAATTCTTCCCACTGACACCAACGATGGGGAATTGTTTTTCCCCCTCTGACATTAGGACCTTTTCTACTCCCTGTGACCACCGTCCAGCCCCCCTAAAGTTTGGAGACCCCTAACATATATATATATATATATACACACACACACACACACACAGTGTGTGTGTGTATATATGTATATTTATTATATATATATATATACACACATACATACATACATATATACACACACATTTTAATTTTTTTTGTGAAACTGATGCATCATATACCATGTGGGAAAATGTGTTCGGCTATAACATGTTTTTGCCTTTAAAACAGGCTTTTTTTTTTTTAAACCAGCGTTCTGTGGAACCCTATGTTTCCTCCAGAAATTGCTAGGAGTTCCTTGACCAGCGAGCAATGACAGAATGATCTTCTACAATGATGACCAGTTCAAGGGTTTTTTTTTCCACTGACCATCAATGTAAGTGGGTATTTATTTTGTAACTGAAAGTGACACTACAATTTTCAGTCTATGTTACTTTCTTATCTGTTTTTCATATTTCATGATTATTGCTGATGTTTAGAACAAAAGACTGTTGTAAAATAATAGTCTCTGGATGTCAAAGATTCTAGATATGTAATATTTTTTATTCATTCATTTAAACCAAATTTATTTATTAATTTATTTAAACAACTTACTAATCATATTAGGAAAAGACAATATTGACCGATAGCAGGATTAGTGAAAAATGATAGCCATGTATTAAAAAAAAACCTATATCCACACATACATGAAGGAAAGGGGTATACAGCTTGAGCGCAGAAAGAAATGGCAGGATGGCAGGCAGCACTCCACTGACACAGTGGATTAGAGGATCCCGCCCTCTTTGCCAAGTCTGATCTCCTGTTTCAGCAGCTGCCTCTAAGCCTGTCATCAAGCTGATCCTAAATCTACCTCTGCACTCGTGCTGTATATCCCTTTCCTTCATGTAACTGTGGATATTTTTTTTTTTAAATAAATGGCTATTATGTTTTACTAATTCTGTGCTCTGGCAATATTGTCTTTTCCTCTTATGCTGCTACAGATCCCTCCCTGATCTATAGTCAGGTCCATAAATATTGGGACATTGACACAATTCTAACATTTTTGGCTCTATACACCACCACAATGGATTTGAAATGAAACGAACAAGATGTGCTTTAACTGCAGACTGTCAGCTTTAATTTGAGGGTCTTTACATCCAAGTCAGGTGAACGGGTGTAGGAATTACAACAGTTTGCATATGTGTCTCCCACTTGTTAAGGGACCAAAAGTAATGGGACAATTGGCTTCTCAGCTGTTACATGGCCATGTGTGTGTTATTCCCTCATTATCCCAATTACAATGAGCAGATAAAAGGTCCAGAGTTCATTTCAAGTGTGCTATTTGCATTTGGAATCTGTTGCTGTCAACTCTCAAGATGAGATCCAAAGAGCTGTCACTATCAGTGAAGCAAGCCATCATTAGGCTGAAAAAAAACAAACAAACCCATCAGAGAGATAGCAAAAACATTAGGCGTGGCCAAAACAACTGTTTGGAACATTCTTAAAAAGAAGGAACGCACCGGTGAGCTCAGCAACACCAAAAGACCCGGAAGACCATGGAAAACAACTGTGGTGGAAGAATTGTTTTCCTGGTGAAGAAAACACAATTTCACAACAGTTGGCCAGATCAAGAACACTCTCCAGGAGGTAGGTGTATGTGTGTCAAAGTCAACAATCAAGAGAAGACTTCACCAGAGTGAATACAGAGGGTTCACCACAAGATGGAAACCATTGGTGAGCCTCAAAAACAGCAAGGCCAGATTAGAGTTTGCCAAACGACATCTAAAAAAGCCTTCACAGTTCTGGAACAACATTCTATGGACAGATGAGAACAAGATCAACTTGTACCAGAGTGATGGGAAGAGAAGAGTATGGAGAAGGAAAGGAAAGGAACAGCTCATGATCCTAAGCATACCACCTCATCAGTGAAGCATGGTGGTGGTAGTGTCATGGCGTGGGCATGTATGGCTGCCAATGGAACTGGTTCTCTTGTATTTATTGATGATGTGACTGCTGACAAAAGCAGCAGGATGAATTCTGAAGTGTTTCGGGCAATATTATCCGCTCATATTCAGCCAAATGCTTCAGAACTCATTGGACGCCGCTTCACAGTGCAGATGGACAATGACCCAAAGCATACTGCAAAAGCAACCAAAGAGTTTTTTAAGGGAAAGAAGTGGAATGTTATGCAATGGCCAAGTCAATCACCTGACCTGAATCCGATTGAGCATGCATTTCTCTTGCTGAAGACAAAACTGAAGGGAAAATGCCCCAAGAACAAGCAGGAACTAAAGACAGTTGCAGTAGAGGCATGGCAGAGCATCACCAGGGATGAAACCCAGCGTCTGGTGATGTCTATGCATTCCAGACTTCAGGCTGTAATTGACTGCAAAGGATTTGCAACCAAGTATTAAAAAGTGAAAGTTTGATTTATGATTATTGTTCTGTCCCATTACTTTTGGTCCCTTAACAAGTGGGAGGCACATATGCAAACTGTTGTAATTCCTACACCGTTCACCTGATTTGGATGGAAATACCCTCAAATTAAAGCTGACAGTCTGCAGTTAAAGAACATCTTATTCGTTTCATTTCAAATCCATTGTGGTGGTGTATAGAGCCAAAAATGTTAGAATTGTGTCAATGTCCCAATATTTATGGACCTGACTGTATGTGCCTATGATTTGTGGATTCTGGTACATTAGATTACCTCTGTACTCTTAGTTGCTACTTTACTGTTTCAAACTGTGGATTCTATCAAACACTGACTGAGAATGCTGGGAATCATTGGTTGTCTTAAAAGCTTTCTCATAATGCTATTTTACCATAAAGGGTAGATATAATAATTTTTATCAGGGGTTTCCTGAGACTTGAAAATTACTTTCAGGGTTCCTTCAGGCTAAAAAGGTTGAGAAAGGCTGCTTTAAAGGGATAGACAAAGCTAGAGAATGCTTCCTTGTCCCTGATGTAGAACTGCGATACGTTTGAGGGCTTAGCCAGTAAAATAGCAGATAAGTAATTCTGAACAAATTAAAAAAAAAAAAAAAAAAAAAAATACTGTCCAAAATAAGAACTGTAACTGCAAATAGCAGTTGAAAATTACCTTTTTATTTATTTATATCCCTTTATGTCCCTTTTCGCCCGCTTAGTTGGAATAGGACAATCAGACACAACTTCAGTATTTTGAATTTTTGGTGTAATACCTGCAAAATATAAGTAAACACTGAAATATACATAATTGGTGCAATGCAAATCATAATTTACAAGGGACAGCAGCTTTTGTTACCAATTTTAATGCGCTCCAACACTGGTTAAATCGATCAAATTTTAAAGCAGCCAAAACTATGAAAAAAAAAGAATTTTGACCTACCTGTATATTCCATATCTTGGAATGCAGTACAGGAAACAGGCTGGATATTTATAGATCCTGGGTTGTAAGCCACTAACTTCAGGTGATAGGGCACTGGAAAAAGCTTGTTAACATAGGTCTTCCTTGAATGTACCAGAGACCTGTTTTTTTTTTAACAGTGTCCTGTACTGTACTTACAGATATTAAAATTACAGGTGAGTAATAATTCCGTTTATCTTTATCATGCAATGCAGGACAAAGGCTAGATAATCAAGAACCTTAGGCCATAAGTTGCATCAACAGAGGCCTGGACATCTACCTGGTAGAACTTAAAAGAATGTGTGAACTGAAGACCAGGTGGCAGTCTTAAAAAGCTGAACAGACACTTGGTGGAATGCCGAGGAAACCTCCACCAATCTGGTGGTATGAGCATAAAAGGGTACTGGAGCAGGGTTGCCAACCATCAGCAAATTTAAGGACAGTTTGTAAAAACCTGTGATTTTTATAACTGCCTGTACATACCAGGAGCTGATAATTTGGTATGCTGTGCTGACTTTTGTAAGCATAAACCAGTCAAATTACCTGTTATGAGTATTGTCAGCGTTTTCATATTGTGTTTATACTATGTAAATATTGGTTGTCTTAGTTTTAATGTAGGTTGTCTGTTAAAAAAAAAAAAAAAAAAAAAAAAAAAAAAGCTCAATCAGTACATTTTTCATGTTTTCTCAGTAAAAATGATGCAGAAGGTTGGCAATGAGTTTCTTTATCCACCTGGCAATAGTGGATCTGGAAGCACAGTGTCCTTTTGGAGAGACTGTTGGCAAGGCAAAAATAGAGTTTTTTTATGAGGTTTTTTTTTTTCATATAGACTCTGACAACTCTCACTAAACAATGAAAAGCAATTTCCTGGGGGTGCTTGGGAGCAGGGCACAAGGAAAGTAGTACAATGTAGGTAATTATAGTGGAAGGCTGATACCAACTTAGAGAGAAAGGAGGGTTTTGGATACAAGACCACTTTATCCTTGTGAGGGATTAGGAAGGGCTCCCCACAAGAGAGGGCCACTAATTTTGAAACAAGTCTGACAGAAGTGATAGCTGTCACGAAGGCCAATTTGCAGGAGGGATCATTGGAATGGGTTCAAAGAGTGGTTTGTTCAGGGCAGAGGTCCAAATTGAGATCTCAAGGGGGTTTGATCCATGAAACACTTTGAATAAAGGTTTTTACAATTGAGAGTGACGCCAAAGCTTTTTTGGAATAGAATGAACAATGCTGAAACCTGTCCCTTAAAAGTTTTTAGAGCTAAGTTTTGGTAAAGTCCCAACTGCAGAAAAGTCAGAATATGAGGTTCAGAGTAGTCACTGGTTGTAATATGCCTGTACTCACACCAGGCAAAAAAGGATCTCCAGGTACAGAATAATTTCTTTAAGTGGATTTTCTGGACCAGAGAAATGAGGAAATTACAAATCAGTCAAATCAGTGGAATAGCATGGAGAGGGGCAGCCGGGGCCGTTGCACCAGATGCAACATCTAGAGGGGTGCCGCAAAGTCCAGATTCACAAGTGTGCAACTGACTATGCTCTCCCTCCACTGCTCTTCACGACCCATGATACCAGCGCTGCCTGAGCCTCCCCGGCTGTCCGGGCTCATCGATGGGCGCCCTCTGTGATTGGCTGAACTGGGTCACGTGTGACAGCGGCGGACATAGGCGGCCACCGCCCTGTGATTGGTCAAATCGAGTCAGATGGCAGGCACAGCTAGCGTTGTATTGAAATAATAGTGGTGGTCACAATGCACCCTTATCGACAGCTAAAAAGACAATTGGTGTCATGCCATTAGCTCTGCCAAGAGGCACAGCACCTGAAACTATCCTGGCACCATGAAACAGGAGGTCTATCAGCCACAGCTCAAGGAATCCCTAGCAACCACTAGAAGAACCCTAGCTGCATATGGCTGTTTTACTGGAACTAAAAAAAGATGATTTACTTATGCTCCTCCTTGTAGCTACTTCTACCCCATGTTCCAGCAGGCTAGGGTCCTAATGTCATCAAGACCATAGCTGGGTCCATAGACCTGCACTGGACATCATGGAGTCGGGCTTATAGCATGTGTGTTATACTATGAAATATATTTACAGTTAAGACACAAATCATATTTTCTTCATTGTAAATTAAAGGACTAGTTCACCTTCACCAATAAATGTCTGTGCAGGTAAAAACAAACTGTGCACCTTTAAGGTAAATATTGCCCTTGCTATAAGTGTAGGCCATTTATATACAGTATCTCACAAGGTTTGGCCATAAAACTCCCAGAGATGGCATTTCATCATCCCATGCTGCCTTGATGCTAGAACATTGCAAAGACTACCAGCTGATTAAAACCCCTTTGCAGGTGCTCTCACTCCTCTGTGGCAATAACTCTGAGCTCAACAATGCCGCAACAGAGGGGATGGTGGACCACAGTCAAATCTGCAGTTTGTTTTAATCTACAGGCACCCCTTACCTGCACAGGCAGTTTTTTGCTAAAAGTGAACTAACCCTTTTAGTGCCAGGTCATGCACTGTACTTTTAACCTCAGAAGGCCAGACCATTTTTGTCATCCCCCACCTTTTATTGTTTAAAAGAATTTTCACTTACAGCTTTCAGAGTTAAAATACCATCCAAACCATACATTTTCTGAAAGCACTGGATGAACAGAATAAAAAGATGGTGCTAATGATTTTTTTTTGTAGGTCCTGTGATAGTTTCTCAAATATTTATCAAAACCTTTTCAATAAAAATACACTAAAATCAATATTAGTGCTCACAGACACAACATAACTTTCAAAATTCCTGATAAATCTAAAATATAAAACGGTTTTGAGTCAATAAATATTTGGTAATTTTAAATTGTGCCTTTTAGTGAAATGATGAAAATTAAAGGTATACAAAAATGTAAATAAGCATGTTATGCTAAAAATCTGGAGGTTGGTCTTACCTATACATTATAGTAATGCCCGATCTGCAGTGATATTTGTGTGGTGCAATAATTTGATGCAGGCTTACATTTAATCTCACTGCGGCACATTACAATGCAGGCATTGCAACATGCTGCCACAGAGAACAGAATGCATGTAATTTCAAAAACATAAAAAAAAAAAAATTAAGCACTGAAATGCACTGTACCAACACACTGCGCCACATGCACACTTTTTGCCCTTTGTTGTGAATAGGCCTTTAGTGTGTTGGTGCACTTCAATAATTAAATAAATAGGTATATGGGGGGCGTTCGTGAGCAGCAGCCAGGATGGCTGCCTTTTGAATCTCCTCCTCGGCCGCCGGACACATCTGCCGATTTCTGACCCTCAGGGGGCGTCCCCCTGCTTTCTCGCTGGCCCCTTGTCCTCCAGGTACCCCAATGGGCAAGAAAACACCGGCCACCTGTGCCTCCAGCACCCGAACGGGCCGCGCCAGAATTTGCAGCCTACCCGCTGGAGGTCACGGCTGAAGCCGCGGCCTCGATTTTTGGCCGGCCGTCGGAGGCTTCCAGGACCCCGGCCGCGAGTTCGTGGCTCCCGCTGGAGGCCGCAAATGAAGCCCCAGCCTTGATTTCGGGTACCCTGCCGCCGCTACCCGCGGGTGGGTTGGATCCTAGCGGTATGGAAGACCTGGCATCAGAGACATCCCTGCAGTCTCCCATTCCATCCTTGCGGGATGCTGAGCTCCTGTGCCACTTCAAATTCATGCTGCAGTCAGAATTGTCCTCCGCTACTTCCAAGCTGGCCGACCGTCTTTTGCGAGAAATTCGGGAGCTGGGCAACTGGAAGAAAGATCTCGAAGATAAAATGGACGCTGCGGCCACGGTCATTGAAAATCACGAACAGGATTTGTGCGACCTCAAGGAAGAATTGGCGGATGTGCTGCTACGGCTTGAAGATTTTGAAAACCGTTCCCGCCGTGGCAATTTACGGTTAAGGGATATCCCGGAAACGGTCACAGATCTCACTTCCACCGCTACTGCTCTGTTTCAGGAGCTGACGCCCGCTATTCCCATTGACCGGCTCGAATTTGACAGCATACATCATGCATTGGGCCCCAGACGACCGGATGAGCCCCAAAGGGACATTATCATCAAGTTTACTTATTACCGCACTAAGGAAACTATCCTCTTGGCGGCCATAAACAACCCTGTTCTCAGCTTTCAGGGGCATCACTACCAGCTCTTCGCAGACCTCTCCCAGACCACTCTTCAGAAGTGCCGCCAGTTGAAGCCCTTCACTTTGGTCCTGGTGAAACGCAGTATTAAATACGCATGGGGCTTTCCATTCCGCCTCACTTTCAACTACCAGGGCCGCAGTCACTCTGTTGCCACGCCGGAGGAGGCCCATTCTCTATTTGAATCTTTGCACCTTCTTTCGCAGGAAGCTGCTGATCAGAGCCCAGCTCATTCATCTGGATCCCTGGTGAGGCCGCTTCCTCCGGGCCACATTTGGGAGTGGTCGTCCAACAGGAAGAGGGCCCTCCCTCAGACCCCTTCACGTTCAAGTCCTTCCTGTTCTTCTCCGGGCTGAAGATGCATCTTGGACCTCCCACGTATAGTTTCACCGATGGACTTCTCTGAGGGGACCGTGAGTTTGGCCCTTGGGCTTTCCCAGTTTGTTAGCATTCCAGGTTGGGACTGATCCAGCTTGCTCCCTTGGGTTCCATAACTAGTTGGGGGGAGGGTCTCCTCCTGGACTTAAGGATTATGACTTTCTGCTGTTGCAGCCTATTTTGGGTCTGGGTGATGTTCTTCGGGTCTCCGTTGGTGGCATAGGGTGATGGTTCCCTCGGGCTCCGGGGTGGGAGGTTGACCTGGTAGGCCCGGTTGGGCGGGAG